TGACGCCCTTCAGGTGGAGTCCTTCCAATCTGCAAAAAACTCTTCTTCTTCTTTATTGTTAAGTTTTCTTGTCAATTTGTCCATTTCTACCATGAAAAGCAACTTTTTTATCCATTCCCAAATCTCAGGTCTTTGTTCTTGTTTCCAACACTGAGCGTAGGTCATTCTAGCTGTTGTAATCAAGTACCATATCAATGTTCTCTTTGTGGGCAAACCATAGTTCTGACAAGAGCTGTTCTTGAAAAAGGGCAGTTTCTGTCAAGAGCTCTCTCAGCCCCACCTACCTCACAGGGTGTCTGTTGTGGGGAGGGGAAGGGAAAGGAGTTTGTAAGCCGCCCTGAGACACCTTTGGGTAGTGAAGGGCCATGGGGTATAAATCCAATCTCTTCTTCTTCTTCTTCCAAATAATTGGGGGCAACAGCAGGCTGAAACCGGGCTGACCACTGAAGGGAGGGAATGTCATGCAGAATGGGGGGGACAGAACAAAAAGAAGGTTGAACTCAGTTTTAGTGCAGAATGGGGGGGGGAGCGCCTGGATTAAGAAGAAGGTTGAATTTGATTTTAGTGCAGAATTGCTGGGAGGACACCGCGGTGGACACGGATGAAAAGGAGAGTGCAGGAAGGGCCAATGTTTTCCGATTCAACTGGTGGCAGCTCTCTCCTGGCTCTCAGTCAAAGGAATGCAACTCCCAACATCTGCTCCTGAGATCTTTGGCTGGAGTGGCAGGGAATGAACCCTGGAATTTCCTGCATGCAAGGTACGTGTTTTGGCTCAGAGCCACGGCCATTCCACAAATGAAGCCACCATCTACTGAGTCAAACGCTTGGTCCATCAGGGTCAGACTTGCCTACTCAGGCTGGCAGCAGCTCTCCAGGGTTTCAGGTGGAGGTCTTTCCCATCACCTACTGCCTGGTCCTTTTTAACTGGAGATGTTAGGGACCTTCTGCATGCAAAACAGAAGCTCTTCCAGTGGCCCATAGTCCCTCCTCTGTAATGCAGGAGGAGGAGGAGACTAGATTTATACTCTGCCCTTCACTCGGAGTCCCAGAGTGGCTTACAACTCCTTTCCCTTCCCCTCCCCACAACAGACACCCTGTGAGGTAGGCGGGGCTGAGAGAGCTCTGACAGAAACTGCTCTTTCAAGAAGAAGAAGAAGAGGAGGAGGAGGAGGAGGAGACTGGATTTATACCAAGCCCTTCACTCAGAGTCTCAGTAGCTTACAACTCCTTTCCCTTCCCCTTCCCACAACAGACACCCTGGGAGGTAGGCGGGGCTGAGAGAGCTCTGTCAAGAACTGTCCTTGAGAGAACAGCTCTGACAGGACTATGGCTTGCCCAAGGTCATCCAGTAGCTGCAAGTGGAGGAGGAGGGGGAGATTGGATTTGTACCCCGCATTTTACCCGGAGGAGTCTCAGAGTAGTTTACGATCTGCTTTGGTGCAGTGGTTTGTGTGTGTGGTTTGGTGTAGTGGTTAAATGTGAGGACTCTAATCTGGGAGAACCGGGTTTGATTCCCCACTCCTTCCACTTGCAGCTGCTGGATTACCCTGGGCAAGCCGTAGTTCTGTCAGAGCTGTCCTTGAAAGGGCAGTTTCTGTCAGAGCTCTCTCAGCCCCACCTACCTCACAAGGTGTCTGTTGTGGGGAGGGGAAGGGAAAGGAATTTGTAAGCCACTCTGAGACTCTGAGTGAAGGGGGTGCTAGAAATCCAATCTCCTCCTCCTCCTCCTCTTCTTCTTCCCCTCCCCACAACAGACACCCTGTGAGGTAAGTGGGGCTGAGAGAGCTCTGAGACAACTGCTCTTGAGAGAACAGCTCTGAAATAACTTGTGACTGACCCAAGGTCCCACCAGCATCTGCATGTGGAGGAGTGGGGAATCAAACCCAGTTCTCCCAGATTACAGTCCGTACTCCTAACCACTACACCAAACTAGCCATTCCCTGGGTCTTTGGGGGAAAGGTGCCTAACATTCCCAGGAAATGAATGCACTGCCGGCCTCCCAGGGAGACCGACGGAATGTGGTGTGGAAAGGGTTTGGACCTACTCCCAGGGGGGCCCACGCGTTGAGAGCTCTCGTGCTGGTGAAACGGCCCATTCTGAGCCTCCCACGGACTCCACCCCCCCTTCCCTAATGGAGCGATGGAAAGTCTATTAAATTAGTCTTTTCTGAGAGGCCAGATTCAATTTTTTCCCAATAAAAAGGATGGGATTTAACGGCCTGTTTATGCACACTAAAGCATTCCAGCTACAATAAGCAAGATGAAAGAGCTCTATACATTTTCAATTAAAAGCACATTTAAACAGAGAATCTCTCCCCCTCTTCACAACCCCGCCCCGCCCTTTTGGGCCCTGACAAGAGGGAGGCATAAATCAGAATGGGGGGGCGGGATTCTTTGAACTTTCAGAGCTGGGTTCTGCTTGGGAGGGAAAGACAGCTACTCGGCAACGGTTTCAGATGAGCTCTGGTTTTTCTGCTGGCGTGCTTCGCGTTTTTTGGTTCTTGTGGGGTTAGACGAACATTTTAGAAACTGTTCAAAGTATTTTGGAGTTTGGCTTTTATGTATTTCTAGGTTTTATTTCTGTGTTACGATCTACCCCATACCTTCAAATGGGGCTTTTTAAAAAACAACAGCAACAGAAGTTTACGCAGCTATTGGACTGTGTTTTGCTTTTCTGCTGGCACAACCGGCTGTTTCCGATGTAACGTTTTGTGCGCGCAGATTGTCTTTTCGAATGGAATATGCAGATGCTCCACCTACATATGCAGATAAGGGCCCCCCCCCATGCCAAGAAGAGCTCTTGGAAGTGAGGGGAATAGACATTTGAGAAACCCATAAGTAGCAACGGAGGCAATATTATGTGGGGGTTCTGCCTGTTCCTTCTGCTCCGGGAAAATTGAATAATGACTCATTCCAACCTGAAGGTTCAGTTTTGAGTCCACAATATTTTTGCAGGAAGGGGCTTCAGATTTGCCTATTAGTTACATCCCCTGCAACTTGGCAGTTGGACTACTGTAACATGGTCTGTGTGGGGCTGCCCCTGAAGACTGCTCAGAAACGTCAATGAGTACAGAATCCAGCAGCCTGGTTGTTTTCCCCGGCTCACTGGTGTGTGCATGTTACACTTGTTGGTAAGCAGCTACAGGAGTTACCTGTCGGTTCTGTTTCAAGGTGCTTTTTCTTACTGGCAGTGCCAATCACAGCCTGAGACCCACACAGCTGGAGAGCTGCCTCTCCCCACCAAGGGCCCGCATTTCATCTGTCACAGCCCTCCCCTTGAGGCATGGGCTACTAGAGGAAGAGATTCTGGTGGTTGTGATCAGTGATCAGTGTTCTCTCTAAGCTGAGTGAGTGTGAGCTAGCTCACAGTTGTTTAGCTTCCGGTTCACACGTTCTTGTCTTAGCTCAGGAAGGAGGGCTCCGGAGCAAACTAATTTATGCAGTCGCCAAATTGCTGGCTCACAACTTTAACGCCAGTCGCCCACAACGTAGATGCCAGTAGCTCACAACAGGATTCCACAGCTTAGAGGGAGCATTGGTTGTGATCCCTCTATTCCTTCATCCAGGTCCGGATTTCAGCCTGCTCTCCCCTTCCCCAGTTAATCATGTGTCATTCCATTCCAGGACTAAAGCAGCCTTGGGCCCAGTGGTGAGGAAAAGGTGCTCCGCTCCGCTGCAGAACCACTTGCAAAAGCTGCCAGAGTGGGGCAGACCAAAAGCACAGCTAACACAGCCTGCTGTCTCCAAGCACCGCCAGGCAATCGCTCGGGGAACCCACCAGCAGGGAAAGAAGCCAATCATTAGTCCGGCTCCCGGCCATCAGCCCCCCTCAAAGGTAGAACTGGCCACTCAAGGGCACCTCTGTCCATTTTTTTTCTGCAAAAAAAGCTTTGGTAGGTCTTAACCGTGGATCAGTTTTGGCTTTCTCCCCCTTCCAAGGCGGCTGCTTTCTTTTGCATGGCATTTGATGTTTGCTTTTTAAGCTTTTGTGTAAGCTGGGATTTGGGATTTGACGGCAAGGCGAGATATGATTCTCTTTTTAAAAATGACGTTTCAGAAAGCTCATGCATCGTTTAATGTGGCTGGTGTGGGACAGAGGGTGCTCGCAAAGGGCTCCCTGTCTGGCCTGGGGTGTTGGATCAAGTCTTCGACACGGCTGGACTTTTGTTCAGATCGAGGACTCTCCAAAGCATCGTGCCTGAGGATCAGAGGGGTCCTCCCTCACCACCACCCCCTTCCTCCCGTCTTTTGAGTCAGCTTCCCAAGCAAGAAGAGGCAGGAGGGCCGGTGAGAATTTCTTTGCCCCTTTTTTCCTTATTTGCAGTTCTGTTTGACAGTCTTAGGGGCCGTGGTGGCTCAGAGGTTAAGACGCTGAGCTGCAGACCGGAAGGTCTGTAGTTCGGCAGTTCGAGACCCGAGCACCGCATGACGGAGTGAGCTCCCATCTCCGGCCCCAGCTCCTGCCAACCTAGCAGTTCAAAAGCAAGAAATGGCAAGTAGATAAATAGGTACCGCTTCGGTGGGAAGGGAACAGAGTTCCGTGCGCCTCGGCGCCCAGTCATGCCGGCCACGTGACCACGGAGACATCTTTGGACAGCGCTGGCTCTTCGGTTTGGAAACGGAGATGAGCACCGCCCCCTAGAGTCGGATTTGACTGACTTTCGAGCGAGGGAAACCTTTACCTTTTACCTTGACAGTCGTGGGGGTGGGGCATTTGACGGGGGGGAGCATACAAAGCAGCAAAAGAGAATGGCAGCCCCCCCCAGAAGCCTTTGCGTGGACCCTCTTGGATCCTCCTGTCACTGCACAGTTTGGCCCAAGCTGTGAGGAGGGCACACACAAGCCCGTGGGAGAGCGGCAGTCCCTGCGGACTCAAGTCCTGACGAAGTTCCTCCAGGGCCAAACTTTGATTCCAGCTCAAGGGAGAGGTGAGTCTGTCTCAGTTCCCCGGCAGCAGGCGGAGAAGGGCAGGAGACGACAGCAGGCGTTGGGGGGGGCCCTTCAAACTACGCTGAAGTACAGTTCCTTCTCCTTCTCGTGGGGTGATGTCGTTGTCCCCGGCTGCAGGGCAGATGGGTCCTTCTCACCCACAGACTGCGGCGGGGCCGCTTCCCCTTTGCTCTGGGGCTGGACACTGGGCTGCCTCCTCCCGCTGTAACCGCTGGAGGCCACATAGAAGCTCCGCGGTGGCCGCCCTCCCGCCCCACATTTGCAGAGCTTCTTGAAGGCCAGGCAGAACTTCCGAGACATGAGGTTGTAGACGACGGGGTTGACGGCGCTGTTGGCGTAGACACAGACCCTGCAGAAGAGGAGGAACCAGCGGTCTAAGTAGGGGCGGTCCACGAAGGAGTTGACCAGCACCAGGGTCCGGTAGGGCGTCCAGAGCAAGGCGAAAAGGACCACCACCACGGCCAGCATCTTGGTGACCTGCAGAGAAGGAGAAAGGAAAAGAAATGCGGGCCAGGGAACAGGGGTTCTCTTACCCACCACTCCCATTTCTGATCCTGGGTCTCTCTTTGCTCTTCCAAACTATCTGAACGATAGATAGGACAGGTGGACTCCCGTTCTAGAAGCATCTGGAAAAGGGCGCAGAGACTCACGAAAGCTCCTCCCCTGCCAAATATTTTATTAATCTTTCAGGTGCTCCTGGACTCTTACTCTTTCTTACTGCTATTAGAAACCACAACATTCAGAAACCAGTGGGGTTTTTGACCTTCCAGGACATTTAGTTGCTGACCTAAAAGGAGCAGTTCTCTTACAAAGGAATTCCAAAGGGAGATTAGAAAGATTAGAAAGTTGCTGAATTGCAACTGATCATGAAGCTCCAGAAAACGCATCCTCCTGGACTGAATGGAGACCTAGGTTTCTTGTCTCGTTACCAGTGCCAGCTATTGTTATTTGGCATCTGAAATCACTTAACTCTCCATGATGTGAGATGGACTCACATTCTAGCTGGATCTGAAGAAGTGAGCCGCGACTCACTAAAGCTCCTCCCCTGCCACATAGCCTTTAAGGTGCTCCTGGACTCTGGCTTTTTTCTCCTGCTACAGACAGACTAACGCGACGACCCTTCTTGAACTATCTGGTACATTTGGTTCTTACCTTGCTCCAGATGCTGATTTCCTGTCCCCCGCATTTCCCCTCTGCTCGAATCCAGCGGATTACGACGTGTGCGGTCCCTCTTTATCCTTTGCAAGCATTCTTTACACACCCCTCCCACCTCCTGACTGAGATATAAAGACTCAGAGATCTCCAGTCCTGCTTGTGTCTGACGAAGGGAACCTGGACTCTCGGAAGCCCACCGCCCCCCCCCCCAAATCTGGCTGGTCTCTCAGGTGCTGCCGGACTCGAATCTACCTGCTCTACTGCAAACCAACACGCCTCTCCTCTGGAGCAGAGCAAGAGAGAGATCTTGAAGTTGTAGTAGATAACTCACTGCAAATGTCGAGACAGTGTGTGACTGCAATAAAGAAGGCCAATGCTATGCTGGGGATTATTAGGAAGGGTATTGAAAACAGATCAGCCAATATCATAATGCCGCTATATAAATCAATGGTGCGACCTCATCTGGAATACTGTGTGCAATTCTGGTCACCACACCTTAAAAAGGATATTATAGCTTTGGAAAAAGTGCAGAAAAGAGCAACTCGAATGATAAAAGGGTTGGAACACTTTCCCTATGAGGAAAGGTTAAAGCGCTTAGGGCTCTTTAGCTTGGAGAAAAGACGACTGAGGGGTGACATGATCGAGGTTTATAGTATTTTTGGTGCTTGGGGGGGGTCAACAGTGGGAGGGCTTCTAATGTCCCGGCCCCACTGGTGGACCTCCTGAGGGCACCTGGTATTTTTGGCCCCTGTGTGACAGAGTGTTGGACTAGATGGGCCTTTGACCTGATCCAACATTGGCGTCTCTTATGTTCTTTGATGTTGTCTTTCATTCGGGAAGCTCAGATGAATATAATATATGGCTCAGGCCCGTAGCTAAAGTGGGGCGCTTTGGGGGCCGGCCCCCTGACTTTCCACCAGGGCCCCCCTGCTTAGCACCCTGGCCAGGCCCCCCAACTTATTTCCCACGCTCGCTGCTGCCAGTGGTGGCAGTAAGCCTCACGCCACCCTTTCTCCCCCCAACAGCTCTCTGTATGTCTCTTCGGCAACTTGCTTTAAATGGGAAGAACATGGGCCCAGTGCGCACCTCCTCCAAAGCATTTAAAGGGACCCTTTAAAATCTTTGGCAGGAAGTGGGGGCCACACATGAGTTTCAGTGCCCCCGCACTTTTTAAAAGGCTCCCCCAAATTAAACAATCCTGGCTACCGGCCTGATATGGCTGTCCCTTCCCCAATGTATCCTCTCAACAGCCCTGTGAGGTAGGCTCGGCTGAAGGAGTCCATGATGCCAGCCGGAGTATCCAGTACTGAGCTAGATGGGCCAGGGGTACAAAGTGTGTCTGACCTGCCTGAGAACCCCCAGAAAATGTGCTTCGGCACTGATCTCTCCCACTGTGTTATTCAAACATCACCGAATCCCAACAATCTTTTCTTTTATTTCCTTCCTTTATGCCCCCGGCTGTCTCTCCAGTGGGGACCTGGACCAGCTGACATTATTCTCCTGTCATCCATTTTACCCTGGGAGGTAGGCATGTGACTGGCCCCAGGGTCACCCTTCAAGCTTCCTTGGCAGAGGGGGGATTCGAACTCGGGTCTCCCAGTTCCTAGCAACACACTCCACCCATTACACCATGATGGCGCTCATCTAGAATTTGCCAAAGGAAGAGGAGACAAAGATAAGAGCCAACAGCTTCCATTGGGGCTATAGCACTGGAAGAGCAAAATGTTCTTTTTCGAATGATTTCATAGAACCATAGAATCACAGAGTTGGAAGGGGCCATACAGACCTTCCAGTCCAACCCCCTGCCCAATGCAGAACCAGCCTAAAGCACCTCTGACCAATACTCGTCCAGCCTCTTCTTGAAAGCTGCCGGTGAAGGGGAGCCCACCACCTCCCCAGGCAGCTGATTCCCTCCTTCCCTGCTTGTAGGAAAATGACTGGGTACATTGCATCTGTGTGTGAACCAGAAACCGAAATGCATAGGGTCTGTGGTGTGCATGTGAAAGATTCCAAGGGATCGGGCCCTGAAAAGATGAAGTGGATCGTTTTAAAGCTGCCTTGAAAGGCACCACCTGTAACCGATGCTCCCTCTAAGCTGTGGAGCTTTGTGAGCAAACATTCTACTTTGGGAGCTACTGTCATTGAAGTTGCGAGCGAACAGTGTGGCGGCTGCATAACTTAGTTTGCTCTGGAGCTATCCTTCTTGAGCTAAGGCAAAAATGTGTGTAAAAGTAAAGGTCTCCCTTGCTCGAAAGCCAGTTGAGTCCGACTCTAGGGTTGCGGTGCTCATCTCCATCTCAAAGCCGAAGAGCCAGCGCTGTCCGAAGACGTTTCCGTGGTCATGTGGCCGGACACCAAGGCGCACGGAACGCTGTTCCCTTCCCACCGAAGTGGTACCTATTTATCTACTTGGAATTTCTTGCTTTCGAACTGCTAGGTTGGCAGGAGCTGGAACTAGAGACAGGAGCTCACTCCGTCATGCAGCAACCCAGGTCTCAAACTGCTGAACTACCGACCTTCCACAGCCTGCAGTTCAGCGACTTAACCACTTGAGCCATGTGAGCCGGAGGCTAAAAAACTGTGAGCTAACTCACACTAAGCTTAGAGGGAACACTGCCTGTAACTGGTTTTTGCGGCCTTGAGTAGAACCCCTACAGGTGCCTTTGAGCAAAGGCTACAGGGCCCGGCTAACAGCCTCCAGTCTGAGAGCTGGAGGAAGCTTTTAGGCCACCAGTTGGCTGTCGCCATCCTAGACAACAGCCTTCGTCCACGTCTCCAGGGAGGAAGGAAGGAAGCCATGTTTTCCTTCTCCTCCTCCTGACGGGCAGCCCAACCTCTCCCACAGAGCGACTCCCCAGGAGTCTCGTTTCAGTCATTACGGCTCCTGGAATCTTCTCAAAGAATTTTGCTCAAAACCCTCCTGCCAGCAGCCCGAGTTGGACGCTGACGAAGACTCCGGGGATCCTTCTGGCTCCCGGCTTGGCAGTGGGCCACGGCGATAATTCAATTCAAGGCCGAGCCAGTTTATTGGCATGCCGAATGCGGCAAACGCTGCTGGCAGAGGGAAAAGGGCAGGTGACACATTGTGCGCCTGATTCGTTCAGCGTGAGAGCGGTGGGGGATCCGTTCTGCCTCTCAGAACCGCACAATATCCTTTACGTCGCCCTCCTAGCTTGAGGTGGCGGGGCAGGGCGGGGAGGTGAGGGAACCATTTTTCAGGGGAAAGACGAGAGCACTCTGCCTCTGCTCAGAAGCACGGTGTCTCTATCCTATGCCGCATTTCAGAGCTGGATTCCAGGCAAGTTGTGGTCCTAACATCGCCTGAACACATGAAGCTGCCTTACACGGAGTCAGATCAGAGGTCCATCGAGGTCTGTATTGTCTACTCAGGCTGGTACTGGCTCTCCAGTAAGGACGCCAGCCTCCGGGGGGACCTGGGGATCCCCCAGAATTGCAGCTGATAAGAAGAAGAAGAGGAGGAGGAGGAGGAGATGATTGGATTTATACCCCGCCCTTCACTACCCAGAGGAGTCTCAGAGCGGCTTACAAACTCCTTTCCCTTCCCCATCCCACAGCAGACACCCTGTGAGGAGGGTGGGGCTGAGAGAGCTCTGACAGAAACTGCTCTTTCAAGAAGAAGAAGAAGAGAAAGAGGAAGAAGAAGAAGAAGAAGAAGAAGAAGAAGAAGAAGAAGAAGGAGGAGGAGGAGGAGGA